GAAAACACATAAATATCGCATCGATCCCGATAAAACGTTTGAGTAAAAAAATTATTCCCGTCGAGATTTTCGAATGTTTCTGGAGTGTAGAGAAATTGTGTATGGGTTTTAAAGTAGTTATCGTGATTTTGAACATTATGTAAGTTAATGATGTTAAAAACTACGCAAAACTGGGGAATATTTAACGAGTGGATTTGCTCGGATAGATAATAATTCGACATTTTAAAGAAACATTTCTCCGTGAGAAATTGAAATGGATATTTACTGTCAACTGTCGATGTTCTACAAAAGTACTTACGTTGTGTGAACATGACTATTAATTTTTAACATATGCCACTGCTATTTACATATTCAAGTGAATAAATTCTATATTTTGGAAATCCAAAGAAATGTTACGGTGACAATGAAATATATACATTAAAAAAAGTTTTGGCATGAGTATGTTGGAAAATGGTTCAAATTATATGAAATTGTTTGTAAATACATATCATGCATATAGATAGATAGATACTTACTTATGTATATAGGTATGCACACAAATATGTACGTAACATAAATAGGAGTAAACGAATTGATAGATAAACATGTATGTGAGGATGGAAAGTTGTCACAAATTGGCGAAATACATGTTATACGCCGAAACTCAACATTTGTACACATGCATTTATACGTAAATGTACCCAACAATTGTTGTTTGGATTTCAACGGGTCAGAAATTATTAACTTTCTCAATTCAATTTCGGTATGCATGTACACATGTACATAAATATGCATGAAGAGTTATAGTAACTCAAGGTTTTGTCCAGATGTATTTATGTTACTTACATATATTTGGATTGTTCACAGGTTTATTTATGTTTACATTTAGCCTTGCTAAATTTGTGTGGATTGTAAGTATTGGGTATTTTCGGATAAATCAAAAATATATATGAAATACATATGTAGGAAGCGTTTTAAATTATGAAATTGTCCAAAACTATTTTCCAAGGTGAAAAAGTATTTTAATAAACATATTACTTCAGAAACCCTCACGGCGTTAAATTCATCTGGTGTGAATAATTTATTAAAAAAGATAGTGATAAATATGATACATATTTACATATATGTACATATGTATTCCAAACTTTTCCGGTACACTGGCTGATGTTCGCATGAAAAACTTAAACAAAAAAATAGACTTCTGTCTGTACAACGAGTCAGTTCGTTTGAATGTGACCCGGTGTAAATTTATGGAATTTATGGATACATAAGCCAGAAATTTGTCAGAGTATGTAGGTATAACAATGGATGATAATACTACATATGGATACGAATCCATAAATATATGCAAGTATGTCATTGGTCCCTGTTGACATATGTGATTGTTTGTGTGTATGTATATGCAACAAGTTGGTTGAGAAATAATTACAAAATCAATACCAGTGACAAGCGTATGCAAATAAATATGCATGGATACAGGATTTTTCATAGGTAGTGTAGACTAGAAATTTTTATATTCAAATCAGAATAGCCATAAGAGTGTACGAGTATGTATAAGTGTTACATTGTAAAAGTATAATATTGACATAATTAAGGATACCAAGTTATACCCCATCTTTTCACACCGTACTTCCGCACCCCGGGCAACCATACCCGGGAGGGTAGTAACATCCACAATTTAAGCATTGGGTATTTGGACTGCTTGTTCCCCAGGAGGGGGCCAGGGTGTCATCACTACTTTTTCCATTCCCCACCACACAATTTTTCTGGCAGATCTTGGCAGATTTGTTCAGGGTTCGGAAAAACCCGGGGTTTTACTCTGAAAACAACTACCCCGGGGATTTACTGGGTTTTACTGGGTTTTACTGGGTTTTGGGGTTTTACTGGGTTTTACTCAATGTTTGGGGTGAACTAATATAACTCACAATGTTACATTAATTTGTTAAATTAATGTATTTTCTCAAGATTTACCATTAAACTTCAATGTAAAATGCTAGGAACTCCCCGAAAACACCAATATGATCAAATCCCAAGTTAAGCTGTAAATTATGATTTTTAGAGCATAAAGAAAAATTGTAAATAAATATAGAAATTTACGGGATCTTAATCAAAATGCATAATCCGAGTTAGATATGCACCTGCAAACTGATTATATTGATTTATCTATTTGAGTTTTAGATAAAACTTGGTAAAACCCGAGTAAAACCCAGTAAAACCCAAGTAAAACCCCTTTAACATAGTAAAACCCGCGGGGGTTTATTAATTTACAACCCAGTAAAACCCAGTAAAACCCCAAAACCCCAACCCAGTAAAACCCGGGGTCGGAATACCCTGGATTTGTTACATCCGGTTTTTCCCTTAGTCTCATCTGTGCAGCACATCTTGGATTATTGAATTTTCAACTGGAAAAAAATTTAATAAACATAACTATTTTGCGATATGAAATTGATTAACTTGCATTTTTCTATTGAAAACTCTTACCGAGGGGTAAAATTTGATTTTGAATTTCCGAACGGACTTGAAAATGGTACTTTTTCTTGAGTAGTATTGTCTCGAGAAGTTGTGAAGAATCATAATTTGTTCCCTTACAATTGTTCTGATTACATACAAGAAAATTTTCCATGAGCTTGTAAGATTGTGCAAAATCTAACAATATCAAAAATTCCGATGCATCATTTCATACGAAAAAGTAAAGCTTATCGAATCTCATGCTAAAGTCGGTGATCAAATTGGATAAGGTTTCATGAGGTTTTCGTAGAAATCAAATAGCTTTGTTTTTAAGTAATTTTGTATAAAATTTGCTGTTACTTATTAAAGTGATGAGTTATAAAATATGCGTTAATGTAATGGTGGACTATTTTATGACGATTCCATTTAATTCCAGGATAATTGCAGCATTGTCGACGTCATTAAATTTATTTATTTATTTTGTATATACGGTTTGAGGTTTACTACGTCCGGGACAAACGAGTACCAAAAAACAAACCTTTTAACCAAGGAAATCATTAGATTTTTAATTGTGTGACTAATTTACTTGCATTCATGAAGCTCATACGTACATATGTACACATAGCACATAACACTCTTAAGAATGATACTACCCAAGCGCGCTCTAAATTTTAAGTATGTATATTAAGTTCCTGTAAAATATGCTAAATCCAGCCAGAGCAACATTAACTTCCTAAAATAATGATTCAATACCAGTTTTCTAAGAGTGTGTATAGCTAATAAAAATGTATACATTCTCATTATCAAACGTGACTTTGTTTCATGAAAATTACGGTGAGGTAAACAGTTATGGATGTATGTATTTTTGTGTGTGTCACCTCATTTGCATATTTTGGCACATTCGCAAAAGACACCTAGTTTTTGCAACTTGGAAAGCTGAAAGCGCGAATCGCTGAAAATGGGTATAGTGAGATTTATGCAAATGAGGTGACAATCCAAGCCCTAAGTAATAGCAGAGTACATATTCCTCACATCAAATTGATAAGTAAATGCTTCATAACTAGTCACACAAAAATAAGTCAAACTATTCACTGGGTTGAAACGTTTATTTTTTTCGGTCTGGTTGTCTACGAACATAGTAAACCGCGAAACCTCAACCCGAACGTAGTAAACCACGAACATAGTAAATCTCAACCTGTGCAAAACATAGTACTCTACATACATATTTAATGACGTTGACAATGCTGCAATTATCCTGGAATTGCATGCAATCGTCATAAAATAGTCCACCACCACAGCAAGCTAAATACCATAACGCATTTTTGTACGATATTAATTAACAAAACTTCAATTACTAAGAAAACCTCATGAAATCTTATCTACTTTTCATTGTCACCGAATTTCACGTTATTCGATAAGCTTAACATACCATTTTGTATGAAATGATGCACCGGAATTTCTGGTATTTTTACATTTTGCAAACGGTATATCAAGCTCATGAAAAATTTTCTTGTATATAACCAGAAAAATTTTAGGAACAAAAATTATGATTCTTCACGACTCCTCAAGACAACACTACCCAAGAAAAGATACAATTTTAAAGCCTCCCCGTTCAGAAATTCAAAGCCAAATTTTATTCCTCGGTAAGAGTTTATCAATGGAAAAATGCAAATTAAGAAATCTAATCAATTTAATATCCCAAAATATGTTTCCAGTTGAAAATCCAATAATCCAAGATGTACTGCACAGATGAGACTACAGTGAAAACCGGAAGTAACAAATCTGCCAAGATTTGTCAGAAACAATGTGGGGTGGGGAGTGGAAAAAGTAGTAATGACGCCCTGGCCCCCTCCTGGGGAACAAGCAGTCCAAATACCCAATGCTTAACTTGTGGGTGTTACTACCCTCCCGGGTATCGCTGCCCTGGGTGCGGAACTACAGTCTGAAAACGATGCGTCACAATTAGATTAACCTGGACCAGTGAGATATGTTTATTTATGCATCATATTTCCATACGTATATTCTCACCGTTATTATATTTACACATTTTTGAATATAATGATTTTTACTCTAGCCGTAACTTCCTTTAAACTACTTGATTTAAGAATAAACACAGTTACATTAAAAAATATAATATAATGTGACGAAAAAAGTGATCAAGAATTCCCATTTTTTAACTAACCAGCACGTGTATATATGTATGTTTGTAGCATTAATATGTAAATGTACATACATATATATAATTAGTTGCGTGTGATTATTTCCTAGTCTGCAAATTGGCATTAAGACATTGTCAAAAGTTAAAAGATGAGTATATTTTTTCCTCGGAAATTTCCCGAAAATTTTCTCAGAAAAACTGACTGGCTTTTTGGAGAAAATTCGTTTAAATACTTGAATTAGGTATGTACATAAGTCCCCTGCCACTACATTCCTATAATAGTAAATCACCCAACACCTTCTTCCGTGTACATACGTACATACATACATACGCACATTTCAACCAGTTGCTTTCTCTCTCTCTCTCACGTTACGACTTTCTCCGAGTGGGGAACGTTCGTGCATATTTGAATAGGAATGATACGTTTAGCTCAGATGTTTTTTGGCGAGGTCGCAAAAATATTCGGCAAAATTAAATTGCACTAATTATGGTAGGAACTACATACAGAAATATTAACATAACGCATGTAGTATTTAGACCTAATTGACGCCTACAAATTCATGTTCAACCTGAAAACAGATTCTTTTTAGCGAATGTCTGTCCTCGATTAAGTAGCAAGTTAGTAACGTAGTGACAAATCCTTAATATCCGTAATTTGCGAATTAGACAAAATTAAGTGTGCAAAATGCTCATGGTCGGCGGATTCGTCCGTGTTGCAGACGGTTTCAATGACATTGGATATCCAATCGGTCCCAAGTACAACATCTCGTTAGAGGGTAGCCTCGCAAATGATGAGATTTGCGGAAAAGTGCAAATATTGGACAACACTGGGGAGTATTATGGTAAGTCTTTACATGCATATATATGTATATAATTGCCAAGAAATTAATTTATTTTGCACTGCATTCATTCCATAGTGTACCTCGGCAAATTTGATTTCTGTAGTTTTGCCGAGCAAAAATTTTGTAGTGCCGCTTTTCCGAACAATTGTTCGCACAAAGAACAGAATTGTGCTACCAACTTGGTAATAATTGGTAACACAATTATTTTCCTGTACATAAGTTGGCACATGAATAATGAAGAAAATTGAATATTTTTTCTAGCCATTGTGGTAGAACTTATGGCAACATTGTCGGTTAAGGGGGAACATGTGATTAACCTCTTGCAGCCGGAAAGAGGTCTCAATTTTATTGTCAAATCCGTCATTTACGACATACTGGATGGAAAGGAAGAAGGTACATGCATACATATGTCTTTAGTGTAATCACTAGCTTTTCCATACACAGTACATATTCACTGGTTTTGCTAAGATAATATTTATGACGATGTGGGTATTCATCAAAAACAACCACACATCTCTTCAACTTTGCGTTGTTTGCGAAATCGGTGTTGTGAAGGACTTAGGGAACGCCCATATATTACGTCATCAAACGACGCATATTATTATTTATCTCATCCAACCACCCCTTCCCTATCCTACTGATGTTAAGCTTAAAACGAAGTCGTATAGGCGACCCTAAACCATCAACCTACCTTTGTAATGGTGTAATATATGGACGTTCCCTTATTCGAAATTACATAAACTGAAAATCTAAGGATAATTCACTTGAACTTGAAATTTGCGAAAAATGGTTCACCATGCTGATAACAGATACCTTTTCATGTCGTACATATACATATTTCGTGCAAAAATGAATAATTCTGATTCGTTGTAACATCGAAACGTTGCAAACATGGCTTTTATAAAGTTGACGTGAATACCACACCACGAGTAGACATTCATACCATTAAAAATATGCTTAATTCAAATTTTCCCTGCATTTTTCCAGCCTTGTACAAAGTTTGCGATTTGGAAAAGCACAAAAAAGTATTTAACCGGACATCCTACATATTCCCGTTCAAATTAAAACTCCCTCCCACCCTACAACTCCCGCCCACGTGGGAATCTCCGAATGGCAGTATTGAGTACCAAATCAACTTGTATTACCGTCTTTCTCACTCCGAGTATAAACTCGTGCACCCCAAAGTATTCAATTTTTACGGAAGTTACATCTTCCCCTTCGAAATGTTGGAGGGGCACAAAGAGAAATTTAACGAAACCAGTTTTTCCCGCGACGACCTCGTCATGACGGTTCGACTCCCGCAACTCAACTTTCTCCGAAGGGAAGTCATTTCCTTTACCCTTCAGATAAAAAACCCCAAACGAATCCCTCTCCTGAAAATTGGCGCGAAACTGGTCTGCAAACATATCGCGATTTGCAAAAATATTCCGCGTAAAAGTGAGGAAACGGTGGACACCTTTGTAGCGAAGAAAGTTTCCCGCTCCGACAAATTTGAAGTGAAGGGCGCCTTCCAGACTGGAAAGGTTAAGGTGCCATCGTACGAGGGGCATCCCACCTTCAAAATAGAATACTGCATCGAAGTAGAAATGACGACCGGGGGTGGACCCTTGAAGGGAGAAATTTCTTTGATAATTGGCACTGGGCACGTGGATCCGTCGCCTTCCGCGCCGCCGCCTCGGCCTCGGAGTTCTAGTTTCTCTTTGTTCGCTATGCTGCCAAGACCGAGTGCTCCGCGGCGTTCGATCACGGGATCGACTTTCTCGCTGTCCTCGTTACATCCGTCACTTCCGACGTATTCCGCACTCCCGTCGCGACAAGGGTCAATTTTGTCCTTGGAAACATGTAAGTATTAATAATAATATTGCACCCTTAGAAATCTGACATATTTTAGGTAGGCAGGTACTGCTTTCTCCGTATTAAATTGACATTAAAATTGTATCGATACGTAAGAATATACTACCGATTTGGCAAAAGTTTCATACCGAAGCATTATTCCATTGTATTACATATGTACTTATCAATATCACTTTGCTAGAGTCATCGATATATGTATGAATACTGGATTTCTAAGAGTGGGGTTCCAACGAGGCGAGATTTTAAGGACAGGAATTTAATTTCGGAATCATTACTATGTACATATATAAATAATGGACTCTTAGAGTAAAAATTCGTAGCTGATGTATTACTTTTGCGGAGGAACCATTTGTGTCAGGAAGGCAAAAACATAATTTTTTAATAATAAATTTTAGAAACAAAAAAATAAGGTTTTGAACCGTTAAACTAATGAGTTGTAACTTTTTCATATTTGCAGTGCCTCCACACTATGATGATGTTGAAGAACAATCATTCCTGGAATCCGACAAAGATGATGGCTAAAGAACTCGAGATTTTGTGGAGAAAGTCATACATCTACACATCATACACATCATACACATCACACCAGAGCTATAGATACATCTATATTATAATTTCGAAAAGTCCGTCCCATCAAGTTTTCCGAGACATTCCTGCATTTTGATTGGCTACAGCCAATCACAGTACGGATATGATTTCGGTTACAATTTAGGTTACAACTTGTTATAACCTCTGTTACAACTTATATTACAACTTCTATTAAAACATGTTACAACTTCAGCAACATAAAAGAATTCCTTGGTAATATAAAAAAAATTTCCTTAGCAAACATAAAAAAATCCTTAGTAACATAAAAAAATCATTAGCAATGTCAAAAAATTTCCTTAGCAACATAAAAAATCATAAAAAATTTCCTGATGAACATTAGAAAATTTCCTTAGCAACATAAAAAAATCCTTAGCAACAAAAAAATTTTATTAGAAACATGAAAATTTCCTTAGCAACGTCAAAAAAGTTCCTTGTCAACGTTAAAAATTCCTTAGCAACGTTAAAAAATTCCTGAGCAAAGTTAAAAAAATGCCTTGGCAGTGTTGAAAGAATTCCTCAGTAACGTTCACAAATTTTTTTAAACAAAATTGGCCTATTCTTCGCAACGCTATAAAAATTTCTTGATCTTGGACAATAAATACCATATATCAGAGTTTTATGACCTCATTACCGAACTACGTTTCGTGTATGTCTACTCTGGAATTATAATTTCCATCGAGCTTAGTAGATTGCGTCTATTATGCGCTGGCTCAATTTGATAGTTTTCAAATGTTCGTGTAAAATAGTTAATGTAGGCCGTCTTTAAGACGGGCTTATAGGCTAGTATGTAAATAATTTAATTGACTAAAATGACACTAATTTTTGCACTGCCTGAGATACGTTGTGTACAATGTACATACATATATTGATTGCCTAAATAGCCAACGTTATGCTCATAATTATGCAACTATGTATGACCATACATACCCATAGGTATAAATATGTAGTTTTAGCATAAACAGGTAAATATCGAGTGCATGTATGTACTTGTAAAAACACCATGAGAATTGTCCCCCACGAAAATAATTTTATTGAAACTTGAAATAATAAAAATACACCCCAAATTAAGTATACATAATAAAGCGATATAGTACATATACACCCCTGCCTGTGACAATCATTCCCATAAATTATCGAGGGCTCTCTGTATACATACTCGTATATTCAAGAAGTTCTAATAAGCAACCCACTGATTCGTCAGAAGAACGTGTTTCACACTCTTTAATTTTATTTGCCAAATCCGCCGGAACTTTGAAGTCATTCCCACAACCCCCTGTGGCACAAGGACCAGAGATGCTCTGAGTCTGGGTGGGTGTGGACTCACTCTGAATGGATGTGGCCTGAGTTTGAGTAGGTGTGGCCTGAGTCTGGGTCGGTGTGGTCCGAATCTCGCTGGTCACTGCACACATGTGATGAAGTCAAAAATTACAAAAAATCCTTCTGTCTATACATACACTACTTAGATATCGAGGCTATGTATTCATACATGCCTACATAGATAACTTTGTAAAATCCGTGAATTTTGTAAAATAATTTTACAAACTTTATCCAATTAAGGAGAAGCTCTTGATCTGAGTAACTTACTCACAATGGAGGCGCAAACCATGTTCAGCCCAGATAATTTTTTGACCTTATTAGTTTGAAAGAGCAAGTCTTTACAAACAACATTTGGTTCAGCACTTGGGCAGATGCGCAAATTTCAGCAAGTTATGGGCGCCACAAGTTCGCAAAAACGCACGAAGTTGAGCTCGCGCTGGGCATTGTCCGAAAAATCGTGCGTTTGTGCGAACTTGCGGCGCCCATAACTTGCTGAAATTTGCGCATCTGCCCAAGTGCTGAACCAAATGTTGCTTGTAAAGACTTGCTCTTTCAAACTAATAAGGTCCAAAAATTATCTGGGCTGAAGATGGTTTGCGCCTCCATTGTCAGATCAAGAGCTTCTAAGCAGGCGCTTACAAATTTTTGTACTCTTACTAAACGTCTCCTTAGAAATATGTAGATATGTGAAAAAGTGTGCAAGTCTACAGATTTTACAAAGTTACTAATTGTCTCATGTACTAACCTTTATATATGTGAATACATAACAATTATAGATATGTACGCATATATACAAATACACACTCTAAATAATTGTTGTGTCAAATTTACACAGCGATATTCTATGACTAATTTTGCGCAATGTTGGACAAGTTATACCCATTTGCTGTGCCATCCTCTTATTAAATTTAGCACGACTTTATTTAGATTGCATAATAACTTACTTATTAGATTCGATTCATTTCGAGAAGTTTGCACAATTTGATCCCACTTAAACGGCGAATATGTCACTTCATCAAGGGGCAATTATGCTCATCTGAGGCGTCGCTGCAGTCATCCTTTCCATCACACTGCTTCCCTTGCGCGACGTATTCAAGATCATCGCAGAGAAAGGTGCCGTCCACTTTTAATCTGGTGCGGAGCATGGAATTAATCCAAGTCGGAAAAAGGGACACTTTAGTAAAAACGTTGGGCGGTGGGGGGTTAAGGAGTTTTCCGTCTTCATCAACCAAACAATCCGAGTGGTTGAACCCCGTTGAAATAATTCCGCAGAGGACGTCAACGCATGCGTGGGCGACCCCAATGTTTGAAGATGGTTCCATCAATGGTCCACAATACGCGCAAACGGCACCAGACCCAGAATCCCCGACTGAAAATTAGAGCGGATTTCTTTCAGAAATTTGGCCCAATTTTCGCCATAAAGTTGGCCCAATTTTCTGCAAAAACTTGGCCGAATTTTCGCCACAAACTTGGCCAAAGTTTCTAAAATAATTCGCCAAACTTTCTCCACAAATTTAGCACAATTTAATTTTGTAAAGACATGCATAGCTATATATGTGCATATGTACACGTGTAAAAGTTTTTTCAGAAATTTTCTGCATAAAAAATTATGCAGAATACTGACACAAATGTATCTATTTGTTCTTAATTATTGCAGAATTTGAGACCGTGATTTCAACCCCGGGTCACCTAACATACATCATTAAACGACATTCGGGTGTCACACGTGGGATGACACCGCCGTTATAAAATACATAAGTTCGATAAATAAAGAAATAACCGCACCTTCGCAAATCGATGTTTTACTCGACCTCGCACAAAACATGACTTGTTCATCAAATCCGCTCCAGTTGTTCAGACCACGGCGACACTCAGAACTTGGGATGATTGACATTACGCCGGATTGCAGGGTGTCAGGTGTGACCGCGGAATAGCTGTTTGTATGCAAATACACCTTGGAAATATAGGCTCCCCATCCATACACGGTTACATTTCCTGCAAAGTATTATAAATATGTACATATGTACACAAATACAGAGTGGTTTAAATGTTAGGTTACAATGGAAAATTTTTCAATGTGAAAAATTCGCAAATCTCCATTTAATGGAGTCCATTACTTACCGAAATTTTGCCTCTGAAATTCAATATTTTAAGAACTTTGTCATCAGTGTTCCATAAGTTTTGATAAAAATTAATAAAAATCTCAATCCCAAACCCGTCCGTAACTAATGGAAATTTACGAATTTTTCCCATTGAAAATGTGTCCATTGTAAACTGACATTTAAACCACCCTGTGTGTAAAATATGTAAATGAAAATGTCCCAAATCTCCAAATCAACCTTTAAACTGCCTGTTTCGACTCGGTATCCGAATTGGATGAACGAATCGATTTATTTTCAGTGGGGCTGTCAGTTGGAGGAGAGCGATATCGTTTTGATAAAATCTATCCGGATCGTACCCGCCATACGGTTGGAGTACCTTGACCTGACGGATCTGTTCCGTTCCGTCGCGAAGTTGGAGACTGTACTCTCCAGCCACGACGCGAATCTCGTGCGGAATTCGAGGGGTGTTCAGGGATGGCGGCTCATTGCCACGATTTCGACGGTACAGACAATGGGCGGCGGTAATGATGGTGTGCGAATTTAGGATTGACCCACCGCAGAAATGTGTGCCCTCCACAGTGTCCACCAAACTTACTTGGTGCGGGGCGTACTGGTTGAATCCACCCGCAACTCGGGGAACACCTGAAATTGACACAAGTCAGGTTTTCAACCTGCAAGAACCACTCTTAAAAATAGGTAGTTTTACCCTTTTGAAAAGTAAATGCAGTCTAGGAAGTATGCAAAATCTAAGGTAAGATTGCCTAAATATGTATGCACATGTGTAGATACACGCTTAGCAAAACGGTCTTGAATCGTCACCAACCGGAGTGCATATACATACGTATGAATTACCCGGCGTGGTGATAACGGGCATCACCGTATGGTGAGAAATATTTACATATACACCGTTGTGGTGTTAAAAACTCACGCCTCAGAATCCAATTATCTATCTATTACCAACCCGGGGAGAAGTTATTACCAAATACCAAATCTATAGCATCACGGAGTATATATAGATATGACTTCACCAGATTTTTAACATTATACTGTACCTTTATAAAGGGAAAAGTTTACTCAGAACTTAGGACAGTTTACTTCTAGTTACTTTTCAAAAGGGTAAAATTATTTTTAAGAGTAAAAGCGGAGGAACACGAAGTGGGTGTAAAACAAGTCTGGTTTTTTCACTCTTAAAACCCTGGTGTGAATCGTCACATAACGGTGTGCATACATATGTGCATATTCACCAAAATGGTTTTCACCGCATCGTGATAAATCTTACCCGCATGATGACAAATTGTCACTGCCTTGTGTTAAATTTATCACCATTTGGTTAGAAACATCACAAGTGAAGTCACACATGTACATATATGCACACCGTTCGATGACGATTAACAGCAGATTTTTAAGAGTATAATAATGTAAATTTAAATTTAAAACTTACGTTTTCCTTGTGTCCATGAAGTGGCAAAGAGTAGGAAGATTATGAAATGGGAAAACTTGAAATTCACCATTTTCTTCGTTTCCATGTTAATAGGCAGTTATTAGTATTTAAAAAAAAGTACGACTTGACCACTTCAAAGCTTATGCGTTAATAAATATATAGTCATCTTTATCTGGGATATTTATTACCGGGATTTGAATGGATTTGGTGTTATTTTGTGTGACATCTTTAAGGTTTTTCCGTGCCATCGTTTTCAAAATCTTGGGTCATTCACATTTTTATTAGGTGAGTCTATACCTATATAAATACATACATTTATGTGCATACATATTTAGCAGATTCACAGTTTTTAATTAGCCTTGTTTGTAGAATTACTTTATTATTCGCTTCCAGGACCAAGCCTGGTGATGGGATTTGACTTTGTAACGCATTTCAGTGTCAGTGTTCGTGAAACGTTTTTTATAACAGAACTGACATGCTGATGCGTCTGAATTAACGGTGCATATGACGATGCACTGTTATCTAGATAGAACTCTGGTATATGTAAGTACATATGTACATACGTAGTTACGCAGGTATTGATTTCTCAGCTTTAAATAAGCTACGACTTGAAATTAAAATTACAACGGTCCCAAAAACTTTGCTACCGATATGGTATCATTTTAATACCGAGCTGTTCCTACACGTTCCTGCTCAATGGGCTACCACTTCATAAGATTTCCTATTTGATAATAAAATTTTTAGACGGTTTATTTTATAATGTTCTGTTTCAAACGAATGAGTAAGATTTTTTTAAATTGTATCAGTTGGAACACTCAAAAATCAGTTTTCCATATTTAGGCTATCCAGATTAGATTTTCATATTTAGTCTTTTCTACATTTCATTTTCCACATTTTGTCCGGATCCCGTTAAATGTTAAAAAGGTGACGTGCCAGTACATACACTCTTAAAACCCTGTGTTAATCGTCTTCGGGCGGAGTGCATTTTATAACTTTATCAAATGACGGTAATGTTTTTCACCGCATGATGGTAAATCTTGTCTGAATTGTTACGAATTATCACTAACTGGTGTTAAGTTTATCACCATGAAGTTACAAATACACATTGTTCGGCGACGACTAAGAGTGTAGTGAGCTTTTGAGTCATAATTTTGTATGGACATTTTTCAGTGCATTCCTGCGAGACAAACGTCTCACGGATTTTCATGGCAATGCATGCATTTCGTAAATAATGAATAATTTCTAGGTAAAAGTTTACATATTTATTTTAGACACGTTGTACAGGTCGGTGACCTTGAGTGCTGCATGACATTGTTGTACATAAGTTATGTACATATGCATGTGTAGGCGAATGTATGAATATGAAAAGGTTAAATTAGACATTTACTCATAATTATAAACATCAACAAGTTTATTAATAACGATGCATGCTTTTGATCATGTGCGAACATGTGGTTCTCATCCTCTGAATAACAGAATGCACTCAATTTACAACTTTTCAAATGTCAAATTCACATCGGAACGGATGGATTAATGATTACATACTCATCTTTGTACCTAGTCGTATACACTCAAGTGTCAATGACATATAGCTTTATTACTTTTGTAGTTCTCAACTTAGCAATTTTTGACTAATTTTACCGTCAAGCCAGATAAATTTCAATTCAAAAACAATTTTTAGTCTTAAAAATTTCCTCCTCCTGCGTCAATGCTACGCTAAAGAAGACACGACCACTCCTCGATGGAATTACGCACAGATTCCAGGGGCATTTTGTGTCATTCCGGGGTCAGAAATTTTTTCCAAGCCTCCGCACTTCTACGGGGTTTAGAACACACCTTTACCCCTAAATTTGACCATTTTTCATGTTCAGGTGATTCAAATCCAGCAGGGATGATAACCATTTCTGATTGGAGATAAAGACCGGAATTTGTTTTTTTAGCTACGCTTGGGTCATTTTTTGCAATATAAATTCGTGCTGAGTCCTGCTGAGAGGTCCCATCGATTCCATTGAATTGGATCTCACTTAGGGGATGTACCACGGACTCAAAAACATATTTTCAGAAATTTGATTCCCCCACCTCCCCCCAATTTTCAGCAAAACGTAGAGAAATTACCCCAATTATCTCCCACCTGCAAAAATCATCAAAAAACCTTGATAATGTGACTTTCTGACCTTTTGTCTATATCGGGGGATGTCTCTGACCGATTTTGCGTAGATTAGGACAACTCGCTTGTTAAAAGATTTTTTCGATGTGAAAATCTCCTCATTTGTAAAAATAATCCTGCTCACTTATTTGAAGCGTACCGCTTGAAGTGACTGCTGCATTTATTTAATCTGGCTTTCCTTTGGGGTACGATCAGGCTCTGGCAAGTACCACATTTTAAAGCCTTAAGCCCAGGCTTCAATTTGAGCACTCGATGGATAATTTGCGTCGACACTGTCAACAGTGAACCCGGTTTCCGTTGGAATTTCGTGAATTTCTTCGGATTCCAGGCTTGAGTGGCTTAACGATGGGTGTGGTCCTTGTTGGTTTTCAAAAAATTCTTCTTCGACTGTTTTTTTGTCGATACAGTCCCCATGAACCTTTTTATAGTCCGTTGGGCTAAATTAAAGTATACCTTTGACTTTTTCAGCACATGTCAAATTCACTATTTTTCTTGGATTTTTTTTTGTGAAAAACTATTGCCGCCTGCTTCTCTTCAATTTCCTATATATTTATCCAGATGTTCAAAAATTACAAAGTCCATAGTGAATCATAATGTAAATCGCATGGCGAATCTAATGCACTTATCAGATTTTAATTCTGTGGCGTAGTTTCTTAGCAACCAGCTATTGACACTTGAGTGTATACGACTAGGTATATATGTACACTCTCAATAATTTTTTGACGATATTGTTACCGGCGGAGGTAGTATGCTACGCTATGCAACGCAATGTGATTTTACAAAAATGCAAGCTAAAGTCAATCAATTATTAGCTACCTTTTGCTACCAAAAAATAGGTAAATATTATTCGAAAACGTACTGGAAATGTCAATCTGATAATAATACTGTAACTAGGGCAAGAGCGGATTGCAGAAGGTCACATGCGGTTATAAATTACGATGAGTTATTGGAAAAGTTTAATCTGTTATCGATTAACGAGAGGCTTGAATATTATGCTTTATGGAATTTGTTTAAGATTAGAAAATATGGGACCAATATAAATGAATTCAATAATATGTATGTATTTAACGAAACGGGTCACAGAACTAGAAGTTCACAGAAAATGCACGTACTGACGCACAACTCGGTCATGTTTACCAATTCAGTGCGTTATTACTCAATTTTAATCTGGAATACATTGGACATTGTAATGATACAAGAAATTTTGGATGATAAAATACATGTCTCAGGAAATGTACGTAGTCGTATCACGGAGTTTGTTATGAAAAAGCGTAAAAATAATTATGATTAGTTGTAATGCGAAATGGATAATTTTAAGACTAACAATACGGTGACGCCAGCGGTCTCGCTCCGATTTTGACGAAACGACGATAATTATGTAGCTTTAGACAAATAATTCAACACGTGTTTCAGGATTTTTCATAATGCTCAGTTTAAACGAAATTATGACGAAATCCGTGAGCGAAAATTCCCATTTTCACCGTGACATTTTTCTCGTGAGGGAGAAAAATACAGATTACAGAATCTCGCTGAAGGATTCCATCCTAATTTCGTTTAAGCTTAAAAGGCGTGGGCATGAAGTGTTTTTTTCGGATTTGAAATTGCTTTCATAAATTTTCAAATTTTGAAAATTTTTTTAAACTTTTTTAAATTTTTTAAATTTTGAAAAATGCAACACGCCAGAGATTTTGAAAAATTGAAAGTTTCTGAAAAATATGTTTCTAAAATTACGCAATGTAATTATGTGGAAAAATGTTCTTTCATTTTGGAAATCGGGTAAAAATTGAAAAATTAACAGCATTAAAAAAAATTCTGATTTTGTCTGAAATTTGTATTTGAAAATTCTGCCACAACTGAAAATGCGCATTCAGAAAAATGCATAAATTCGGTTCCACTTATTTCCGTGTATGAGCAATATAAAATTGTTCCTGTCAAAATCGGAGAAAAACACTTCATGCCCACGCATTTTAAGCTTAAACGAAATTATGACGGGCTCCATAATGGAGAATCTGTATTTTTCTCCCTTGAGAGAAAAATGTCACGGTGAAAATGGGAATTTTCGCTCACGGATTTCGTCATAATTTCGTTTAAACTGAGCATTATGAAAAATCCTGAAACACGTGTTTAATTATTTGTCTAAAGCTACATAATTATCATCGTTTCGTCAAAATCGGAGCGAGACCGCTGGCGTCATCGCATTGTAGGATATGTAGTTAAGTTGTGTTACTTGATGTAAACCAGTCATTAAATTGTACTGATCAAGGAATAACATGTGAATAAATGACTATCAATCAATCAATCAATCACCGAAGGGTAGCATATATACAGAGGCTAAATCCTGCTCGACCCCCATTGTCAACGCTCATGTAATAAAAATATTACCGATACCGGAGATAATTTCTTACCCTCAGAAGACAATTTGTTACCATAATGTTACCACGCGGTAGAGTTGCATCGTATCTCCGCAGGTAACAATTTTGTCAGAAAATTATTGAGTGTAGACACATATTTACGATCTAGAAGTATTTTTTTGTACAAATTCACACATTTGTCTTGAAATTTGATTATGACTTAAGAATCAATGACTGTATTACCCTACGTAATAAATATCTATGTATCTAAACATGTAAAACTGACATTTATGTACATATGTAATTTATGCGACTCCAGAAAAATTGTTTATTACTTATTGGTGTTAGATCCCCCTGCATCTTTTCAAGAAAATTATATCATTCTTGGGTCTACATAACTTAACTTATTTCTCCAAACATTTAACGCAGTTTAATAGACATTCGGAATATAGTCTTTTTATGATAGTTTTTACGTTCTTTCAACCATGAGGTTCAAAACTAATAGTAGAATTCTCGGAATACGGCGTAATTAATAATAGGTGACGTTTCATTTCTTATGCTAAGATCATACCTGCGTGGGAATCGATGGGGTGACAAATCTGCAAACGACAAATGTGCAAAGACATTTGTGCAAACGATAAATGTGCAACCTGACAAATGTGCAGCCCGATAAATGTGCAAACGATAAATGTGCAACCGATAAATGTGCAGGAATTTTTCCAACAAATAGTGCAATATATCTTGATATAATTTACACTTCAAATCAAATTACATCTTATCAAAAAACTAAGAATTCTGAAACATTAATTTTGTGGTGAAGCTTATGAAGCTGGAGATCTTATAATGCAGATTTTATACTTATTAAATATTACTAATCATCATTATAACGGGGTTGACCCCTGTCAATTTTATAATAAAATTCCCGTGCCGAATCACTGTAATCAGGGTTGCACAAATCTCATCTCACTGAGATATAATGAGAAATAGTGAGACATGAGAAATATGAGATTTAGTGAGATTTATGAGTCATGCACTAGCGCCACCTAGCGGACGGGGTCATGAACTACAAGTTTATCTCATTATTTCTCATATTTCTCACTCAGCCCCAACTGAGATGATTGATATATATCATTAAATCTCACTAAATCTCACTCAGTGATATATATCACTTGTAACCCTGACTGTAATGCTAACCTTACATTTATGTAATGCTAAAGAAGGAAATCTGTTATGGTGATCGTTTTGGGCTAAATTTTGGTTAATTATAAGACTATGAAGCCCACCAGCGATATTTCTGATTTTTTTATATGATGTCATACAACTATCAAACTTCCATTCCTGAAAATTTCAGGAATGGTACATGCCCACAAGTGGAGAAAGAAATATTCTCCTGGGCTATGTTTAACACGTAGTTAGGCCAAAAACAAAAGCGCAGATTAAAATATGAAGACCACGAACGATTTTGCAAATATTTGCATATGTTGATGGTCATACTATTGGTGATTTTTCATCAAAGAATTGAAGATTGTACATTTCTAGGTTTCGAGAAATTAATTCAAATGTATCAAAAAACATGGAATGAAATGGAAACCATGCAAAATTACCACAGGTATTAATAAAATGGTAACCATGTTGCGCGTTGCTACAATTTTGCAAAACATTTCCAATGTTTATAAACCAAAGCCCGACAAGAAAAAAACATTGATTACATTCATGGGTTGGAAGTGACTCAAGCAGGACCCTTTGAGTTATAGTAGACATGCTGAATAATTGTTTGATAGTATAATTTGCCAACTCGCCAAGTTTGCAATTAATCGGGGTTCATTTGACAAAGTCCACTCTTCGTTCGAAATTTTGCCAAGCTCGTTTTTCGACGGGTGGTTTTCCACCAGTCGCTCTTTTCTCAACCCGGACAATCAGATTCACATCGGGAGACTGTGCAGCCAACAAAGGAAGCTTAACCTTTTCGGTCTCCAAAAATCTGCATGCATCTTAATGTGGATGCATGTTTTGGGGCCACTGCATTTTTGGAATATGAAATTACTTCCTAGGTCGTGTTTTTGTGAAGTGTTTTCAAATTATCGTTTCGAATGATTAATTAGACCTGATTAATCATGATTTCATCGATAATGACCACGTAGCTACGCCGCGAACTGGTCATTTAAGCCCAAACCATAATCGATCCTCCTTTATGTTTAACTGCCATATGAACATATTCCTCTTTGTGAGCCTTTAATGGCACCCGCCAGACTTTAACCATTCAATTGGCCCCGAATAAGTAGAATTTGCTTATGTCGGACCAGCAGACCCTTTTTCATTCATTGGAAGTCTGTTTAGGGTGGTGTTTAGCCCATTACAATTTATTGAGTTAGTTGGTTTTGGGGACCCCCGCGTCAGTCGGGCTTCTGGACCCTGAAACCCCATTGCATGATTTTTGATTGATCACCAAATTGAAGGATATATTAGCCCCACACTTGGTTCTCAAATTCAACATGGTTTTGGGAGCCGAAATCTTCCGATCTCGAGTGACTTCTTGCTTGATTAATCTGTCGATTTTGGGCTAAGGTGACTTTTTTCAGCCGGATCATGGGAAACCAGCAATTTAAAATATCGCTTCATGTTTTTTGGCTAAGTTTCTAATAGTAAATATTGCTGGGCATGTTTTATGTCTGAGTTTTTGATATCCAAGCTTGTTTGAGAAGGAGGCAAGATTATTTCTCGCTCCGCCAAAAATAGCTCGTTTGGTGTCGCAATTTTGGCTCTAGACAATACCAATCTGGACTTACGAAGCAGATAAAGTTATATTTTGTGATCTGATTAACTTACCGTGACAATAGGTAGAGGTTTATCGTCATAAAAATTTCGCACAAGCAATTAACCCATAGGTTGCCAATACTTTTTGCAGGTTGTAACCTGACGCGTTTGTGTCAAAATCAGAATAACGTTACGGTTATTTAATTTCAGTCGGGAACATGATTATAATCGAAACTACATTAGATTTGCTAAATGTGTACAAAGTTTCATGCTAATTTGATGATGCAATCCAAAGTTATAACCATTTTTATTTAGCTTGCGTGGGTGGTGCCTATACTTGTTCCATTGACTGTATCGTTTGCACATTTATCGGGCTGCACATTTGTCAGGTTGCACATTTATCATTTGCACAAACGTCTTTGCACATTTGTCGTTTGCACATTTGTCTTTGCACATTGGTCGGGCCACCGTGGGAATCATGAGTTCAAAACCCGAGAATTATCAAGGCAGACGAGTCTAGAAATAATGCACGTCGTAGTAGCAATGAGTGACTGAGGAGGGGAGCTTCACCACCTGCCCCTCTCAGATCTTGATGCCCGTTTGGATGTTGTAGCACGTAACAAGAACCCTTCAGTGGTTTGGCTGCATGGCCACATTTACCCCAGCCACACCCATTCAAATGAGTCCAAAAACGGGAAAAAGCTCTGGTTTTACTCCTTAAAATCCTCGCGAAAAATCAAATTTTACTCGGATTTTTAAAATTCTTGCACCATTATACTCCTATGTAGATAGTTGTTTTATCATACCCAAGGTCAAACTCGATTTTTTTGACATTTTTATTTTTCCGAAATCAAATTCCTGATCAGAAAATTTTCGAAAATATTGAAAAATTTTAAAAAGTTGAGCTTGATATTGGGTACGATACATAAGCTATCTGGGAGTATAACGGTTAAAGATTTCGAAAATTTGAGTAAAATTGGATTCTTATCGAGAGTACCTATAACATATTATGCAAAGCCATCAAGATCTGAGAGTTGCAAGTTTGCAAGTGGTGAAGCTCTCCTCCTGAGTTATCTCACTAATCCAAAGTTTAATGCATTACCTGTTTATAGCAACTAGATAACATCAAGTGTTGAATCATGTTTCATTTTTTAAGATGATGCAATGTTGTTCTCCTTGGAGTGACCTACCCGTCTTCATGTCAACTAATGCAATTCTGGTCATGTGATAATGCAGAATGATACTAAAATAGAGCATTTTTTTAATTGACTCTTATTTTTAATAAGACGGCCACTTTTAGTTGAGACCTGAATAAACCTGAATTGTCCAGGATTTTTCCTTAGTTACGAGTTGAGCGTGAAGACATAAACTACTTCTCACCTTAGTAAATAGACAAATCATCCCACATAGTATCGACGGGAATGTGAGACGACTTATATATTCGGGGTAATTGTATTTGTATAAAACCCCAAAAGTTAATCAATTTTAATAATGCATTATGTCATCAAAAAGCGCCGATTTTTAGACCACCCCTTCCTTGCCCTACGCATGTCAAGCTAATCCAAATAAGATAGGCGACCAAAAACCACTCTCCCACATTTTTTGATAACGTTATTTTCTGACGTTCCCTTGGAGTGATTGATGGACTGACTGACTGACTAGGACGTGACTTAGCATAGATTTAGATATGGCATAAACTTGCTGAAAGAAGTGCCATTTCAATTACCTAAGTTTGTTTCTTCCGTAATTTGGGAATAATGAAATAATAACCTCAATTCAATACACTCTTAAAAATAATGTTATAAAACATTTGTAACTTGATTAAGAGTAAAATGTTTACTCGGCCCACGCATCCTGACAGATCCTGCATGCCGTTTTGGTAGAACTCCAGCTACTGCTACTTGTCTGCTTAGTCCGGTAGTATTTAGTACCATGAAAATTTCAAAAGTTACCATACATTAGTTTATGTATGTTGGTTTTTGTAAAATACAACATTGAACATAAATATGTGCATATAAGTACACTTATTATTTACTTCCCGTCTCCAATAATTTCCATCAAACCGTGTCACCGAAGGGATTTTTAATTCCTTTCCGATAGCTTACAATAAGATATAAATTAGTCACAAATGCATAGACAACAAATGAGGCGTAAAAATTAATAGACAAATCTGGGTAAATTAGATCGTGTCACGGGGATAGAAGCAAAAGAATTGACGTCCTTCCAGCATTGTATTTTTGGCATGGCATCTCAAGATCATCTAGTTAGCATACAATTGGACATGGTTCATGCACTCTTAGAAAACTGGCATTAAATCATTACTGACCGGAGTACATACATATGTATATGACTCTACCGGCACAGGTAATAACGAGCATTACCGTTCAGTAATGTTGTAGACTACAACTTGTAGTAATGAAAAATTTACCACACACTGCTCCCAATCCAGTAGGCAGTTATTACCAAATCAATACCAGTACTGAGTACATAGGTATATATGTGTACAAATTTATGTGACTCTACAAGATTTTTAGCAGCGTGGCGTACCAGAAATACGTTGCAGATATAAAAAAATAGCACTACCACAAAATGCATTACATCTTCCTCTTCATCTGCTTGTGATAAACCGTGCACGCTTTGTGAAACTGTTTTGTGGTATTTTAAGAAATCGATGTGTACATAATAGCGATATCTCGACATCATTCACTTTTTGCGAAGTACATATTTACTAAATACGTTTAGTGTGTTTTTTGCCTTCCTGTTGAACATTATCACAACAAAATAATTTAAAAAACATTAAAAGTGCATACATATGTAACTGTTCTGCTTGGATAATTAACAGAATTGATTTCTGGAAACCCTTCAAGAAGACTCAAGGAGCAAGCGTTTTAAATAATTGGATTTGATCTGCTTTGTAAAGGGTTATAATTATTGCACAAAACAGTGGCCGCGGAAGCGATGGGGACATCTGGGGGCAATAGCATTGTAGAATAGGGTAGAGAGGGGTTTATATAACATAGACAGATTATGCGGCCATATCGAATAACTCTGGTACATTGTCCCTCTGTCCCCACCCTTCCGCGGCCACTGTCATAACGCAAGGTAGATAAGTACCAACCCATCAAAACGATCTTAGTTATATAACACGCGATCTGCAATCTGCCATGTGTTCATAATTGCTGTCATGTCATGTTTTATTGACACGACACCTGCACAGCAAAGAAGTATGTAAATTACAACAATTCATAATTTTATTACAAGTGGCTCAATCACAAAAGACATTTGGAACTGTATAGATTCTCAATTTACAATAGTGCCCACATTTTCATTTATGTACATAAATAGAAATCATTTTTTAGCTTGTGATTGTGTTTCCAGCATGGATTTGGTTCAGTGCACGTTCCGCTTTTTATCCGATTTTCTGGATGCAGGCAGAGATTCCATAAATGAGATAAAAGTCAAACAAAACGTAAAAAAGTGTCACAAATAAAATAAAATCTAGAGATTTGACCTTGATCAATTGAACGAACGGGTACCAATTCCATCAAAAAACTCAAATTGCATCACTGCAAGAATGACAGCCAAAGGAGTGACAGGTGCTGCGGAATGGTGGACTTTGTTTCTTCTGGGGTGTACTTATTCCACTGGGGAACTGGGGCATTTTTTACTAGGGTCCGTTTCTCGCCCCATGGCGCAAGAACTACATTTCGGAGATAAAGCATGTCTCAAAAATAATGAAGTGACCAATATCAGTTCTGCCACGTGTTCCGGTATCGTTGACGAAGTAACGTGAGTCATATTTAAATATTTATGTACACGCTTAACAATTTTATGATACGATTGTTACCGGTGGGTTTACTATGCAATTCTACGACTTCGGTAATATTTTATCACGGAAGGATAACATATATAAAGAGGCTAAATCCTGCTTAGTCCCCAATGTCAATGCTCTCGTAATAAAAAAATTACCGAGAGGACGCAATTTCTTACCCTCAGAAGACAACTGGTTACTATAGTGTTACTACGGGGTAGAATTGTGTAGTACCTCCGCCGGTAACAATCGAATCCAAAAATTATTCTAATAATTTTATTATGATAATTTTATTAATTTTATTATGTGTGTACAAACTACAAGGAACAGTTTTTTCTAATTATTTCCATTGAATAGATGCCTCAATGTCACGGTCACCACGGTCGTCAGTTCGTCCGAAGTTATGCACATCTGCAAATGGGACTACAATGGACTGGGTTTAGAATACCATATCTTAGCCGGGCCAGCTTTCATACTCGTTTTTACTATTACAGCTTTAGGCTGGGGTTATCTGGCCGATAAGAAAAACCGAGTTCGATGTTTCTCTTTGGCCACCTTCTTTTTCAGCTTGGCAATTTTGGGGACATCATTCGCTACAGAGTATTGGCACGTGTTTGTAGCACGGATGTTTCTGGCTGCGTGGTATACATACTTACACATTTCTTTGTTCTCTGTTCAATTAAAGCCTCGTACTCGGAACGAGTTCTCACGGGAAACGACAACTTGCTTAATTTTTTTTTACATAAATTGACGTTTCAGCTAAATTTGTAAGTGGACGGAATGTACCACTATTTCACGCATCTTTTGCTCAATTTTCAGTTGAGTTAAAAACGAGATTTCGAGCTTCGTTCCAAGTGCTCAGTACCACTCGGGCTTAACTTGAGCCGAATTTCAGAAAAATTAGTTTTTCACGTGAAAAGTCCATTCTGAGTACTTAGCTTTAATTGTCATGAGTTTGTTAGTAAATACAAATTACATACAATAAAATTATAGGGAATCATCCTGCGTACCTTTGGCCACGACCATTATCGCGGACCTGTTTCCCAAAAGGAATCGAGGTTTGGCCATGGGGATTTTCCACTCCGGGATTTACATCGGATATGGAACATCCTTCACCTTGGGGAATCATGTCACGGCAGCTAATCTCTTTGACCAAGTGAGCAAATCAAAATTATCTACACTCTCAGTAGTTTTTACTGATGAGAATGTTACCGTCGGAGGTGCAATTCTACCGCGTGGTAATCCTGAAAATAAAAAATTGTTATGTACCTGAGGTTAGTAAAGTGTTAGTGATATTTTACTACTATACCGATGACGTTTTGGATAAATGTCTAATCGTCATTGAATGGTGTGCAAATGTAACTTCACCACCCGGTGATAATGTGACTCACCTAATGGTGATAAAACTAACAGTTGTAATTTGTCTCCATGGGGGCAAGATTTATCACTATGCGGTGAAAAACATTGTCACCATTTGGTGAGATCACATTCCTCACCGCGCATTGTCCCATTGCAGATAGTACCTCCGATGGTAATAATCTTAAAATTATTAAGAGTGTAAAATATGTATGTTCATCTACACACACAGGCAAAGGATGAATACATAAATTGTGATAAATTGTACAATAGGGTTGGAGAGCTTCCTATTTTCTGGCAGGACTGCCCGGTCTCGCAATCACATTTTTATTCCTCTTCACTGCAAAGGAGCCGGAACGAACGAGAGATGAAGATGAAGTGTCCAAGTCTAGCCCAAAAGAAACAACAAAATGTAATCAAACTTCTACCAATTCAGAGAAGAATATTAAGCAAGAAACTCAGGCGGTTGGAAAGGAAGATGAAGGAAAGGAAATTGAGTTTGAATCTAAATCTGCTTGGGAAACGGTAAAAAATCCAGCTCTGATTTTCTTGGTCTTGGGTGCTTGTGTGAGGCATGCAGGTAATGAATACATAAATACAGTGGAATTATTTGTGCTAGTCACCTCATTTACATATTTTGACGAAATTACGAGAAACATAGAGCGTACTCACGTCAACCTTAGCATATCTCGCAAATTGAGCATGAAAACATAGCTTGCGAAGCTTGGCAACATCTACAAGATTTCGCAAAGATTTTACTAGAAAACCATGTTATGTTTTTCGCAAATTTATTGGGCAAGTTATTATTACGCAAACTCATCCTCACAATCTTCAGCAAGAGAAATTACGCAAATTCATGGAAACCATATCAAAATATGTGTTTTAAGTAGATTTGCCAAGTCATATTTTGCGAATCCACTCACTGCAGAAATATTATGATCCTAATATCATGAAGTTTGCTAAATGAGTTGCGGTGCGAAATAAGACGTTGTCGTGAATATGTATGCCCTTAGTTTATTCAACATAAAAATGCCGTATTGCTGAAAATTGGCATAATGAAATTGATGTAAAGGAGGTGACACGCACAAAAAACTCCACTGTACATTATGCATTTTCATCCGGAGGTCGATCAAAAACCATAACCATGACGTCATTACTTTTTATAGGGGGATTTTGCTGGGGTTATAATTCCGCCCTGTACTTTAAAACGTACTATCCCGACACCGACGTGTCTGCCATGTTGACCATTATTTCCATCGGGGGTGGCGTCACGGGTTGTTTTCTGGGTGGATGGTTATCCGACAGTCTTGTCAGTACTATGGGCATCTCGGCACGAGCCCTAGTCTTAGGGATAAGCCAGGTAAGTAAATTGACTGATGGCTGCATAAATATACATATACGTGAAAATTTTTGGTCTGAAATTTCGATTATGTATAAATTTGCATATTATTGCATTTAGTTGGTGGCTTTTCCATTCGCATTTGCCCAATTCTTTGTAAGTCCTCCGTTAGCTCTGTACTTTCTTCTTGTTGGATATCTCGCAGGTATGTATACATAAGTCATTTTATTTAAATGCACGCATGTACGTACAGTGAAATTATTTGTGCGTGTCACCTCATTTACATAAATCTCACTATGCCCAATTTCGGCGATACGGGCTTTCCACATTAAATAAACTCTATGTCTCTCCCGAATCCGTCAAAATATTCAAATGAGGTGACACGCACAAATAATTCAACTGTATTTATGTCTTATTAATTTTTCTGTTCAACACATAGCCGAATTCTGGTTCGGAGTAATGTTTGCCGTCTTGGTGGAACTCGTGCCGGCCAGCATTCGATCAAAATCCGTGGCTGTGGCGCTCCTATGCATCAACAACATCGGTGGAAACACCCCCGTGTTCGTAAACCCCCTCGCTCATGCGTTCACTTATCGGACCGCGGTTGTAATTCTGTATCCAGGAGCACTTTTTGGAAGTAGGTGGTTATCATCAAAAATTATACTCAAATATTCGTAAAATGAATTTCTCTTATTTTCAAATCAGGTTCTATTCTGTTCTTTATATGCTTCTTCATTTTACGAGGACAGAAAATTAAAGCGGATAAGGGGTCAAGCGCGGTTAAAATTTCGAGTTAAAACTTTTATCGTCAAGTACGCGCAAGGACATTATTTTCAAAAATCTTTATGTTACATATAATATTATTTCAAAATAAATATGTAGATGTAAGAAGGTAAGTCTCAGTCTGCCTCGCACATTCCCTTGATTTTCTACAAACGTTGGAAAATTTGTGGACAATTTTTTAAAAAGTCTTCATAGAATTATTAATGTACACATTTTGAAAATTACGATACAATATAAATTCTCCAAAAGAGCGTAAAATTTGTCGATTTTTAGATACATATGTAAATACAATAAAATCTTCACTTTTCAAAGAAACGCACGGAGATAAACACGTTTTATAATCGCGATTTTAAGACATGGAACAAGGGAAAGGCGAGATACAAAAATTCGAATTCAAAACCCTTATACACTGCGGCGTTAATCTCTCCAATTATTTAACGAGGAATCTATTACACAACTCAATTAACTTTTCGAACCGATCAAGCAATCACATTCGTTATCGATTATTCAAATTTGTATGTACGCAAGCCTAATTCCTGTATTCTTCTATGTAATGAGAGATTACTGATCATTTCGTCCATATCGATTAGGGATGGCAACACTTATCGATAGTTTCATACCAATTATTACCTTATCTTCTCCTCCGATACGTTCCCAATACCTTCTGTTTATTTGAAGCACCCAGAATCCCATTACATATTTACAAATAAACTGTCGTCAGTCAGGTTTCTAGCTTTCCCAATAAATAAGTTTCCAAGTCTCAACTTTTCCAATAAAATCGTCACCATGCAGGTCATCGTCATCGTCCTGCTCCTCGTCGCCGGCAGCTTGGCCAACTCCATCAGGCAAACTCGTGTTTCCAACCCACCATGTCGTAAGAATTGGGTAAAAATTCTAAAATTTCGGAATTTTAAGATTCCCTAATTTGCAGCCCTTCCCGAAGAATATACCGGCCCTGAGGGCCCCTTGAATATAACCTACCACCCGATTCTCGAAATTCATGAGGGCGGAAGCCATGGGTAAGTGTTGAGCCGGTGCGGTGTTAGGTGTTCCCTTGTCGCATTTTGTACACACTCTAAAAAATCCCGTATTTATATTGAGTCACAAATGTACAGGGTGGTTTAAATGTCCGGTTACAATGGAAAATTTGTCAATGGGAAAAATTCGCAAATCTCCATTAGTTACCGAAATTTTGCTCTGAAATTCAATATTTAAGAATTTTGTCATCTGTGTTCCATTAGTTTTGATAAAAATTAATAAAAATCTCAATCCCAAATCCGTAATTAACGGAGATTTACGAATTTTTCCCATTGAAAAATTTTCCATTGTAACCGGACATTTAAACCACCCTGAATATACACCGTGCTGGTATTGATGATTTAGTAATAATGTCTTCCCACCGGATTTGTAGTAAATAGCTTCCTTCCGACCAGTCAATTTTTCACTACCACAACATCACTAAATATTTAGTAATGTCCGTTATCTATTATTGTGTCGATAGAGTTGTACACGTGCACACTCCGGTTAGTAATGATTTAACCAGTTTTTTAAGAGTATATGTACTTATTAACAGAGTCTTCACCATCAACGGGCTGAACACCTACTCGTCCTATTGGACGATCGACATGATCACGAACATGTTTACCATCACACTTGATAACCTCAGCCTGGACGCGACCTACTCCGCGACCGGTTACCTGGACGCGACGCCCTACTCGCAGGGATGTATCCCATCCGGAAACTTCACTGGTGGCGACACCGCCAGAATTACGGTTGCCGGACTCCGAGTTGTCGGACAGGCCACGTTTTTCGTCAACCTGGTCAACGACCGTGTCTCGATCCGTCGCTTGTCCGTGGCTTCCTTTTCCTTCACCGACATCACGGTCGACCTTGGCGCGAATTTCCAAATCGGTTGGGCTCCCGTTGACTGGCCCGCATTCAATGGTAACCTCAAGGCTTGCATGGATTCTGAATTTGCCGCCAACAATCCCGCCATCGTGGAGAAGTTTAGGCTCGCGATTAACGAGAAGATTCAGCATTACACCAGCGAAGAGTTGTCCGAGCTTATTGGCAACATCTGCCCACCATGAAGTTATTAAAGTTCTCGGTTGGGAGAAATTTGTTATGTTAAAAGCGAGATTATTATCAAATTCGTGAATTTTGAAAATCAAAAATTGAATGTCTAAAATAAATATTTATATTTGTGCAACCATGTTAACTACAGAGATATTTTATTTCTGCGTAATAATTTTAACTGTGACCTTTGAGGTCAAAATGGAGATCATCATTGAATTAGAGGGATTAAGTTTCCTGTTAAATTTTGCAAGCTTACCCCTTGAAGGGGGTGACCTACATACACTGTAGAGGTGAGTCGGGCCTAAGATTTTCAAAGCCCGGCCCGCCCAAGCCCGACTCAAAAACCCTATTCAAAAGCCCGACCCGCCCAAGCCCTATTCAAACCCCAACTCAAAAGCCCGGGCCCGCCCAAGTCCACATTTTCTAAAGCCCGAGCCCGCCCAAGCCCTATAGGGCTTGGCCGCCCAGGCCCGAGCCCATCGGGCTTTGAGCCCGGGCGCATAGGGCTTAATCCGGCTTTTTTGTTATGGCGTGACAAATTATTTATACAATTAAAAATAAGATTTGTAGAGCGTTCTAAGTTACGCATGACGAAACACGAATTGATAAATAAAGAAGTTCAAATTATTTAACAAACACATTTCAAAGGTTTAGTAAAAAATAAATTATTTTCACAAGGTACAAAAATAAATAAACCCAAAACTGTTAGTGTCAATGATGTTTAGTAAACAAAAAACGTAGTTTTTATGAACGAATGTCAGGTTGGATAAACTACTGCCGCTAATCCTAAGTTCAGTGCGACTGGTGGTCAACGTTAAACCGGTGCTTTAAAACACTCTCTCATCACTAGCTTGTGATGCGGGGATTGATAATATCCTTGGAGTAATTTTCTGCATCAGTGGAAATTGTGTGGCGCCACACCAAAATTTCAGGATATGCTGACCTCGCTTGATCCAATAGCCTGACCGTCTTTGAATATGTATCCTCTTGCACAGTAAGCTTATTTTGAATTCTCCGTCCTTTCACACTTTAGATGTGCAACCCTGCTAGTAATTTTTTCACACCAATAACAACAATCATTTCCATTTTGAAAATTTTTGATATTGGAATTACTTTTTAATGAAAATACTATGAGAATACAATAATGCATTGTGAATTGCAAGTATAAAATACAAATGGTGCGCTTTTGGCCAAACTTTTGACTCTCATATTACTCCTAACTCCACGAAAAATATTAGTCGGGCTTTTGAGTAAAGCCCGAGCCCGACTCAAGAAAAGCCCGCCCAGGCCCGACCCGACTCATGGGCTCAACTCAAAAGCCCGGGCCCGCCCAAGCCCTACTCAAGTAAAGCCCGCCCAGGCCCGGCCCTACTCAAAGGCCAAACTCAAAAGCCCGGCCCGCCCAAAGCCCGTAGGGCCTGGGCGGGCTCGGGCTAGCCCGATTAAAGCCCAAGCCCGACTCACCTCTAATACACTGTCCATCATCGAACTTGCCATGTGTCTTGAGGTTAGAAGTTTTCGTTGAAAAGTTATCAGACCAACGGACAGACAGACAGACATTTCAGACATAACGATCTTATAAAGGGCTTTCACACCTTATTAAATAATCAGTAATAATCACATGTATATACGAGTAGATGTATTAATTGTATGCATTTGTCCTTTATTTATGTAATTAAAAATTCACGACATAAATTAGTCGAGATTCGTTTATACGATTTCTCCGGCATAAATCGTGCAGCCATAAATTTTAGGAAACATTCAGCTGCATAAAAACGATAAAAAGGGTTAATACTTGGCCGAAAATCTGAAAACCAAAAGTTAACTAGATTATAAAATTATTCATGCATGGAAATATTTACATGCATACATGTGTATGTACCAATATATCTGTGTTTCTGGGATTTCGTAAAATTAAAACTGTTTAAATTACATATCCTTACCCCCAAAATAAGGGAATTGTTTAATTTCACGTAGTTTTTTAGCGAAATTTCCGTTGGATTCGAGGCCAAAAGAGTGCAAATATTTTGTAGCTACAATAATTAAATAATATGTAGTGTCCTATTAAATTAGCTCACATTTCATACTTTATAAATTAATAATATGTCCGCATGGATATGAATAATATTCATTGAATATGCATCCAGACGTGTACTTGCGCTCATCCTCAGAAAAGTGAAATTTTTACATTCTTAGAAATCTGGTATAGTGGCGCAGTTATTAATTTCTCGCTGTTTAAATTGCTACCGTTTGGTGTTAAAATTATACCGGTCAGTACAAATTAACCACCGATGTGGCAAAACTTTAATACTGCGCTATTAATTATGTACAATCTGCACAACGTATTAATTATAAATATGTACCAATTGGTATCATTTTAATACCGGATTTCTAAGAGTGAAACATATTAATCCAATTGGATATCTGCATTCAAAATTTCCGACTATGTATTTTCATGCCCTCATTACTTATGTATGTAGCATTGCGCAAGTTTACACTCTAAACCAGTGGTGGTGACTCTGGTGATTGAGTTTTTTTACCGGTGGGTGATGATCGTTGTGATTGAGTACCACCGAGCTGGTAATGGTTTATTTCCATGTAATGATCAAGCTGTCATCGATCGATGACGTATTATCACCCAGCCGATAAAGTCACATATGTATGTATAGTGATAAAACAGTAATAAAATTTCTTGAAGTCTACATACATACATATTTACATAAATATGACTACTTACCTCACGATATAAATCTTCGTTAATCACTGCTAATTCTTTCTCCTTAAGAATTTTGGCTAATTTCTTTTCCTACAAAAATATTCCGAAACTTTCCAAAAATTTAAGAATAATTAGAATACAAATGTCCTCACCACTTCTTCTATATCTGTCGCAACCCAAATTTTGAACAGAACTCGGTACAATGAAACACACTGAAAAACGACATTTGTCCAATCACCGCGTAATATTCAGCATTCCACTCCGAACTTGTCACCAATTTGACGCAAATGTAAACCGTTGCAGATGCGATATAAATTGAAAACATGATTGACAAAAGTTGAGAAATTGTCAAATATTTTCCAATTGACTCGGCTTGTGATCGTATCATTAAAATCAGTTTGTGCGGATTTCGAAGTTGAACTTTGCTAGTGAAATTCGTCGCCTGAATTTGTTTGTGGATCTAACAAAAATACAAAGTCATTCGATTAAAAATTTCGAAATTTCACAAATCATGCATACTTAATAAAGTAAATTGATTCTAATTGTACCACCCCAATTGATGGCATACACAAGTATTTACATATAGAAATAAATATGTACGCAACAATGCATATTTATGTGTGGAAATTGGTATATGAGCTTCATTTATGTAAATTTCACAAGATTGTTATACGTATTTTATACGATTTCTAATTAATTCAGTTCAGCGTAGTTTTTTTATAATAAAATTGAATTTGGGTTTAATTAAGAAAAACATAATTAACAAATAAAAATTTGTTCCTATGCAAACTTAGAGTGTCCACGGAATTAGAAGAATTGCTGAAAATCACCATCATAAAAAATGAAAATCGAGAACATAAAAAAAAGAAAAATAAATTCTGACTAAAATTCATTTCGAAATTTTGAAACATTTTTAAAATCTTGCCCGGATACGTAGTCTCATATAAATTTTAAATATTATAAATACATACACACCTCAGAAAACCCTCTCTCAACACATTTCAACATCAGTACAACTTTGATATCATCCGTGACATAGGCAATTGTTGACAGTACGCAGGAAGTTTCACGTATGACGAAAAAAATGGGAAAATCGTCCAGGAAATGGACGTCCGACATGAGAAGAAAAACTGCAGATGATCCAACCGTAACGAAGAAGTAGATTGTGGAAAATTTATTCCGAAATTTTATAACGTCAATGTTCCCAAATTTCTGGTTCAGAAACTCTCCTTGGATTTCATTCCAGTCATTGAGATACTCTACAAGTTGGGGTGTGGTCCACCACGAGATGAAGTATTCGAGCATGATATGAAAAACTGGCAGGACTTCGGCAGACGAAAGTAACAACGCTCAAATTCAAAACGAACTCAATTTTTTTCAAAATTGGATGTCGACATGAAAAAAAAAATTTTATGCGTTAGTGGAGAGGTAGGGGAGTATTTTTTTGAATTTGAGCGCTATACAGTCATGTCGAAATTTCGACACGTCGATGTCGTTCCATGACGACATGGCTCAATTTCACCTGCGACGTACTTTTTAGGACCAGCTGAAGCTAGATATTAAATTTTATCGCTCTACGTCATGTTTGATTTCGCCCGTTTTGGACAATTTCGCCAAGATTTTTTTTAATGTTCCCGGCCTTATATCTTGGAAAGGGGCAGATATGGAAACTCAGTTCTTTTTGGATTAAGAAGATCTACCTGGGGATCACAATTTGCAATGCTTTCTGGAGTTCTTTACTTGCCCCTCTCAGAGAACCGCGCCCCCAAAGTAGGCCTTTTTTGCCCTTCGCCAAAGTTTTACCCTTAATAACTTTTTGGTTTATGGACCGATTTGGTTGAAATTTTTAATGAAAGTGTATAATCGCTTGGGCTACAAATTTCGTTTGGGCGATTGGCCATAAACCCACAAAGAAAGAACCTCACCCAAAGTGGGTGTGGCTCGTTAAATTTTTTATGAACACATCCTAGGCCACCTAGGGCTCAGAATATGCAAAAATATTAGGAGAAAAGTGCTCGGGGACTTTTTTCCTCAAATCTGGCCATTTTAGACAATGTGGTATGCTATCCCACTGACCACCGAAAAACTCTCACAAATCTCACGCATAAACGATGCTTCTGAGAGAAAAATGACAAGATACAAAATAGTTAGAGAATTGCATAACTTAATTTGGTTAAATTTGGTTTTTTGAAATTTTCAGTATTTCCATTAAAAATAGACGTTTGAAAAGTTTAGATGGCTGAAGTCAACGTAAAATTTAAACTTTCTTATAGGACATAGCAGTTTTTTATATTGCTCACATTGAAATCTAACTTTTTTATATTATGCTTTTTTATGTAAAACGCTAATTGAGTGAGAATAACAGTAATTTTGCATTTTACATAATTATTGAACTCTAAATAAATACGAGCTATAAA